GGGAGGGGCGGGGGGGCAAAGGAACTACTTATTTCAGGTTAAGCAACACATTTCAAAATTTTTTTTATTATTATTTTGGGGCAAAACATATACTTTTCATGCTCAGATATCCTAAAAATTATTTCTCAAAGTTTTTTCTTTGGTTAGCTAGCAAGTGACAACAAATTACTGCCAATACTTCAGTTCTTCAGCATATTCTGGTGCTGAAAATGTCCAATTCAAGTCAGTGAAGTGAACTGAAAAAGTTCAAAACTTAGCAAGAAAATTAATCAAGTGGTATCAAGCCACAGTGGGAATATTCCCTCTTGTGAAAAAAAAAAATCTTTCAGAATCAAAACCTTGGACATATAATTTCATATGTAGTCCGTTTTTATGGTGTTTTAACCAGACTAAAGATATATCTAGTATTCATAACAATTAGATCGTTTAAAAAACCATCCACTCACAGTTCAATGAAATTTTTCAGAGAATGTAGGAAAAAGAACCCAGAAAAACCTCCAGTTCCCTGTCTGCTCCCAGCCTTCTGGTCCCAAATCAAAAGGGAGGACACAAATAGGAAACTTCCATTTCCAGTGGGTAGATAAGCTGTGCTTCAATGTTTGAATAGATCAGACACTAATCTTACTGCTCTACATCATTACCTACAAGAAAAATTAATAGAGATGCATGGGTAAGGGGTCTGTGAGGGGCCAACAACCTGTTCCATTCTGCTAACTTTCTAGTATTTGACTAAGTCAGAAAAAGAAAAAGAAATAAACAACGTGGTAAAAAAGTTTAGTGGTTTCAGGATGAAAGACCTAAGGCAGACTTTTATTATCTCATTCCACCTCTGTGAGGATGAATTAACAGAACAAATTGATAATAACTGAGATACACTAACATAAATAATTTGATTACCTTTTCTGATGTGAAGCATAGTTAGAAGCACGGATCCAAAGCAAGCAGTCACAATGAGAATCGCTCGAACAAAGTGCCTGCCCGTAGTCCACAGAACACCATGAGTTGAATCTTCAAGAAAAACAAGTGGGGGGAAGACATTACGTAATTGCATAAGCTTCTCCCTTTTTCTTTCACTTTCACCAAATTATTTTTGCTATGAGCACTTCAGAGGTGATAACAGCATTTTAGATTGTGTTTAAGGTCAGGTGCTGATGGTGCACTTCACCATATCTCATTATCCCAATACAGGAAAACAAAACTGTGCAGTGAACAGGACCAGGGAAATTACCTAACCAAGTAACAGTCTGATAAACAGAAATACTATTTTTGTGCTGGATCAGGTCTCCATTTTGGTTGAAACCTTGTGCAAACATATCAGGGTACAATGCAGAAATTAAAAGAGTAACCAAAAGCAAGAGCAGTAGGGGTGGTGCGCAGTTAAAAGTTTGACTAAAGAGAAATGGCTTTCTCTATTCATGGATCTTCCTTCAATACAGACTTCATGAGAAAAAAAATCTGTGTATAATTTGCGAAATTTAAATATGCTCAAAGCAAAAGCTGTAGTGGCAGGAAAAGACTATATTGTCCAAATTTATTTGACAGCATCAGCAAAATAGAACATTTTTGGAAGATGTGTTTAATTTATATGGGAACATTTAATTTCTATGCTCCAAGCTATATGCTTTTCAAATAATGGAACTTTTTTTAACACTCAATTTTCACAAATTGACATAACGCAAAATTTCTACCCTTGAATTCCACCCACACGTGGATGATGAACATGTTAATATGATGGAAGTGTACACTAATAGTGTAACTTAACAACACAGGTATTTCTTTTTAGCCTTTTCAAAATTAGATAGGAAAGAGAAACAAATCATGGCTGATTCAGCCTGGACAAAATTACATAGTACCTTGAAGTTTATTATCATAAATTAAATTTAGAAATGTTACCTGCTATGCGTAAAATGGCAGATGTATTTTCTTGAAGCTCTTTATTCCAGAATATACAGTAAAAAATCTTATCAGTCTTACTTTTGATTGTAAGGTTACTTGTCACACGATACAGCTGGTCACTTCCAGTTTCATAATTTGTGTTTGCCTTATCAGTCAAATCTTCATATTCTCTGTTTTGCCATATCACTTCGGCTTGTGGGTATCCTTCTGACTGACATGTCAACTTCCATTCATTGTATCCTGTGCTCACCACTCCTTGGGTTATAGTTCTATAAGGAGCTAAATAAATGGAAGAAAATTATTACTAGCAAGAAGCCAGAAGAACACCTTTAAGCAAGGCACCTTTGCTTTATCCCCAGCCCCTGGGCCAAGCTTCTGTACATCAGCTTGGATTTTGTAAAAAATATTCTTGACAGGAAAAGTAAATATCACCATTGTGTCTCTCCTTAGTAACTGGAGGTACAGGATTTATTACAATTTTGATGCTGTTTAGAACGCTGAATTAGCTCTATGGTCTTTGTCCTGTCTAAATGTTTTTTGCAACACCATTCCTCACATGTCATCAGGGGAAATAAAGGACAGAACATGGATTCAGCCAGAAATTCAGACAGAAACATAAAGTTACACAGCTGCACAATGGCCATGAGGCAGCTCCTGTCTCCGGAGAGGTTTCTTTAAATGCTAACCCAGTCATGTCTTACCTCAGGAACTCCTCTGAAACTTTCTAACAATATCAGATAGCACTGAACCTCCTGTAGGAGCAGCACACTCACCCTTAACTTTCAGATTGATTGTCTTGTAGTCAGCTCCCCCATAACCAATAAGACAGCGGTAAAACCCTGCATCTCTGAGCTTCACGTCAGTGATCTGAAGGAGAGACTGTCCCAAGTTCAGCTTCTCTTTCAACAATTTTATTCTTCCCCTAAAGTCACTGTGCTGACTTCTGAAGTCTTCCTCTCCTTTGAGAAGTTCATAAACCTGCTTCTTTAACTCATCTTTCTTTTCCCAGCTGACACTTAAATCTCTAAGCTTTAATTTCCCATTCACTGGAAACGTGCATTCCATGGTCACATTGTTCCCATGTTCCACAGTGTAGAGTGACTGGGGAGCTTCAACTGTGAATAAAGCTGAAAAACAGAATTTGGAAGAAATTGTCATGTCTTATCATATAAATAGGACATTTTAAGGTCCAAAAGTATCTGCCCTGTTCAGAAAAGTTAAAATGTTTTTGCATGCACTTGCCCAAGTTTTGGACAAATCAGGCTGTTTATACCTGCAGACACCTGCTTTATGCACACACACAGCGTGATGCTGTACTAAAAATAGGTGAAAGTGTGCGCACAGCTCCTCAGCTGCTGCTTTCAGAGCACTGCCACAGCAGCAGGCAATTGTTAGTGCCTCAGATGGGCACGTTCTACTTATATATATCAATTGTTAAAGAATACATGGCAATTTCCCGGTTTGATAGTGCCAATAAAAATTATTGTGTAATGCAAACGGTACCTTGTCTGAAATGGTCTCTATGCTCAAAAACTGACAGGGACTTCAACCTGCCCCCAAAGCACATACATCTAGCTAATGTAAAAGCATGCTAAGACCTTTTTATTTAAAACATTAAGGAAAAAAACCCCAAACACTAGCACCTGAAGGAAAACTGAGGAATTACAATTTCTGTTCTTATACATGGAAAGGAAACATACTTAAACAGTTCTACTGCTTCTTATGACTCAGCTTCTTACCATTTAGGAAATGCCAGTAGAAAAAAAATATGTACAAAAGCAAAGGCTTTTCCATGATGTCGACAGAACCTAAAATGACAAAATAATAGACACATATACAAATTTGCTCATTTTATAACTTGCACTGTAAAATACACTTTGAAGTCACTTCCTACAAAGAATTAGACAGAGACACATATACAAATTTGCTCATTTTATAACTTGCACTGTAAAATACACTTTGAAGTCACTTCCTACAAAGAATTAGACAGAAGGCAGTGAATTCCACTCTAGCCAAAAAAAAAACCAAACCAAACCAAACCAAAACAAAATTGCAGTTTAAAACTACAGTAGATGATCATGCAGAAAGCTTTCTGCATGGGTCCAGGAACAAAATCTCATTTTATTTGCTTTAAACATTTGTCCTTGATTATGGCAAAATATATGCTTTATCACTATCTGTCAATTAGTAAATAAATACTTACAAATAGCCAACTGTTCCCCTAACCTGTAGCAGGGAGTGTTGCTCCTGCTAGGAGGAGAACGGAGGAAGTTTCTATACGTGTTCCGTGGAAGAAATAGAACTTATAGTCTGTTTGCCTTATTTTAACATACTGTGAACATACTGTTTCATAACACCTGGTCTCACGGTACTTATCACAGGTCTTGTGAAGTTACATACATTGTTAACAGAATTCATGCAGTAATTAATCCCTTACGCAATAGTGCCTTTTGTAAAATGGTGACAAAAATAGCCTACAAACAAAATCTATTTTCTTGAATTTCTGCTGCTTTATCTCTGAACATGTAAATTGTTTCTATTTTCTGCCAGAAGTTTTTCCCCACTTAATTGACATAGCTTTTATACTCCTACACAACCCTACCACACCATAAAATACGGATTAATGTCAGTTCATGCATGTAACCTTCACATACCCTTGCTAAGTGTGTACTTTAAGTCTGAGCAATACTAGTACCAACCACTGGCAAATTACTCTCAATAAAAATTCAAACTCAAACTGTAATGGAAGTATTTTGTGAGTATAGAGGACTGTAGAATTTTATCTAAATAAAGTCCTCATTTTATTTACCCAAACAGCAGCTCTAATACCCCTCATGTTTCCTGACTGGACTGCAACTCTTACCATTTTTGGTAAGATGTTTTGTCTTTCTTTCTCTGGTTGTCCTGAATCATAAGACATGTTTGCCTTTACAGTGTTGTGGCTTAAGGGACTAGACTCCTCATAAAAATTTGATTCAAGCTACTTACTTCCTCAGATTGCTGCTGCCTGATCCCAGTAGTGGGTTTGCAGAAGGCAACAGTGATGAGGATGAGAAAGACAGTCAACCTAATACATACTCAGACAGGCATGAGCAGTTACAAAAGGATGTTCTGCTAACAGGGACAGGAAAATACAAATAAGATCCTCAGGGTAATGTCCTTAAAAGCACTAGCAAACTGCTGCCTAATTGTGTGGGTACCCAAGAGTTTCTGGTGATGTACACACATAAGAGTGATGCCACTGCCTGAGTGAGAAGCAGTCCAAGGCACTAAGCTCCAGAGGAAAGCTTCTCAAACAAGACAGGCATACTGATCTCACAAGTGTGCCCTCATCATGCTTACTCTAGAGGCAAGCCTGCAGAAGAGCAAGACACTGAGACTGATGGGTATAGGTGTACAACCCTTTGCATTCCCCATGCCAGAATGACTACAGCTGTAGCACACTGGGCCTCAAAATACTTTCTACTTTTTTTAGAGTACAGACTGTAGCTTAAAGTCTGCTTAGAACAAACAGCATGTACACTACAGTCACAGAAAGATACCCATACTCATGCGTGCAACCCACACCCACTTTTTGTCAGGAACTCTGTCTGTCAGTATGAACTCTAAGAGAGGTGTTCTGATTAACTCCTGCAAGACAGACGACAACAAGTAAGCTTTTACAGTTACAAGACCCGTGCTTGTATCCTGCAACTGCTGAACTTTAATTTATGTGCTTTCTCCCACTGTAGAGCAAAACAAGCCTTACTACACACAAAAGAAGTATAACTATTACTTACAAAATTCCTCAAGACTAAGAAAGTCTGCTGCTGTACTCAGTTTTTCAGAGAAAAAAAAGTAGGTCCAGGTCAAATCCAGATGTGCATGAAAAAACTTGCTGCAATAACCATTTACAGACCCTTCTCTTGTTTCACCCCGAGCACAAGGATCCTCTGGCCGGATCAGCTGAAGCAGCTTGAGACCTAGATGCCAACCAAAGATCTTTATGAAAGCTACAATCTTGTATTTTTCTTACAGAACGTACCACAATTCCCCTTCCTTCCTCCTGCTGGCTTCTGACATCTATAGCAAACACAGTTTTATAAAAGCAAAGAGATATTCATGTTGAAAAATGTTCTTCAGTATTGCTCCTGTATGTTTCCTTCACAATCAAATGCGGAAGACAGGAAAAACAGGACTATTTGCCGAAAGACTTCTTGCGACAGAACTTTAATGTTGATGTAACTCCACTTACTGACAGAATCATAGATCAGCTTGGGTTGGAAGGCACCTTTAAAGGCCATCTAGTCCAACCCCCCTGCAGCAAGCAGGGACATCGTCAACAAGATCACTAGAACTACTTATTTAGGAAACTTCCCCATTATTGGAAAATTCCCCACTAGGGAAAATTCTCTAACAGTTGCTAACAGTGGTTCACTGTAACCAGAGACAGAAATGTTGGGAAAATTAGTACATAAAATGCCACAGGCATTTTAAGAAACATGTCATCTAATCAAAGCTCTGTGTGAGCAATGGTCCTTGGAACACCAGTAGCAAGAAGTCATCCATCTACACAAACTCAGGGTCATTACAGTGCAGTGCCAAATAGCTGCTAACAATGCCCTGAAATTTCTATGCAATTTACTCATGTCTGCAAAGGTCACAAGTAGGAATATTGGAAAGAGCATTGCCTACCCTTCTCCAGTAAGAACAGATATTCTGTGTCCAAGATTGGAGCACAATGAAGGCCCCTCGCCTTAATACTGCTTAGTGCAAGAAGAGTCATTAAGCCCATGCATTAGCTTAGCAAAAAATGAAGAGCATTGTCTTTTTCTTAATTCTAGAAGTCATTCAAGAATACAGAAAAAAAAAAAAGTATTAGAAACCAAAGTATGTACTCACAGTAACTTGTGGACTGCAGTGGGATAATCTGGTCAATGGCACAAAATACAACTTTAATCATATGTTTCAGTATAAACTGAACATAACTTCACCCACTTATGTTGTCTTTGCACGTTTCAAAAAAGGGTTGAGATTCTCAGAAGAGTCAAAATACTGTGAAATGACCCCTTAAAAGTTTTCAGAAAGTATTTTCTTTTTTCCACTTGACAGCCCACTCACAGTATCTGTAACGGAAGCAAAAACACATAATACACAAAACTGGTAAGAGTTAACCTTTTTACGTGATGTGTGGGAAGAACGTGGAGACAGCAGTATACGAAACAGCTGAATGCAACATTCAGGTTTTAATAATTTGAAACTACTTTAGGAGGTTGAGGGGGTGGATTTCCGCAACAGGTGAGACCAATGAAGGTTAATTTCCATTGATTTCTTCTTTGCTTAAAACCAAGTTTAACTATATTTTCTCAGAAAAAAAATGATGCAACAAAAAGAAACTGAAACAAATTTGTAAAATACTGACTGTGAGACCACAGAAGCCATTAATGTAGCAAGCTTTCAATGTAATTAATTCAGTTTCCTCTTTTTCCTTGCTTGCCTTGAGGTCACAGGGTTGCTTTCACCATGTATGTAAGTATTCAGTAGTGCAATGTAAACAAAAGACCAGGGCTGTTTTTTTGTTTTGTTTTTTGTTTGTTTGTTTAATAGACATGTCCACACAGACATATATACACACACAACGTCTGACAGCACAGTTACATACTGGGCTTGGTGGGTTTTCGTTAGGTTGTTTGCTTTACCTCTATTCTGCAACAGATTTTCCAGACAAATCTCTCAGCGTCGCCTGTCACTGGGCGCTGCTGAGCAAAGGGCACGACCGCAGCAGCCTTCAGGGAGAGCGCGCCCGGGAAGGCTCCGGTAGCTGCCGGTGCCGCGGAAGCACC